CATATTGGATAAAGCAACAAATAAAGACTTATATTCTTTTTGCCTTTAATCCCGGTACTGGAGAATTGAACATTATTTAAAATTAAATGTATTAAGATCATGTCATATCATTTTCTCAATGAATTTTCTACTCTGTTACAAGTTTGATCTATCAAATTAATCAAGCTCTCTTCTGTAGCTTCTCTTTCATTCTTTTCACTTGTTAATTCACTATTTAAATAGTGATTCATTTCATCTAACATTCTAAACATTTATCCTTATGCCTATTCTCTTTATTTTTTCTCAGTTGTTAAGATCTCTTACAATTTTAAAATTGAATCTCCTAATCTCTTAATAGTATTTTGATTTTGTTATTCTCTATATTTTATATATATTAATAATACCTTTATCTTCTTTCTTCTTCTACTTCCTCTTATAATTATAAAATACGATCTCCAATCTCTTAAGCATTCTTCTCTTCTGTCTCTTCTCTGTATTTCTTCTATCTTGCCAAATCCAACTTCAAGCTATAAACCTTATCATCTGTATTCTTAATTATTTTTCCTTCAAAATCTTTTCTATTTATTTTTTCTGATTATAATTCTTTATTCAAAAATCCTTCTAATGCCTTTAAATCTTTTGATCTTAATTTTTCATCTCCAGCCTAATTTTAGTTTTAACTATACTTCTCTAATGATTTTCTCATTTTATGCACCTTCCTCAACCTTTTAGAGTTGTTCTTTCAACAACTTGAACTTAGAATCATCTCCTTAAGCTTATTTAGTTGCTCTGTCTTCTAAAATTTTAATCTTGCTCTCAAATGTTTCTTTTTTAAACTAATTATTAGTATACAAACCATACAGCTTGATCTTCATCAATTTAATGTTATAGATTGGAGAGTTTTTCTGATAGCTGTGATATTTTAGCTCTGCTTGGTGAAAGTGCTCTATCACCTCCATATGGTTGTACATTTGAAACATTCACATTTGAACGTGATGGTGAGTAAAAGATCTTTGATGCAGACATTAATAATTAACAATAAAAATTATTTCTAAATATTTTTTTTTACTTTCTCGTTTTAAAATCAATCTAATTAATCTCATTATTTTTTTAATCATGAATTTTTATTCAGAATTCAAACACAACATGAGATTAGCTAAAGCTGATCAAGAATTCAAAAAAAAGTCTAATGAATCACTAATCAAAGCATTAGAAGAGAATAAATTTGCTTGTTTTACACTTAAAGCTGAAAAGTTTGATATGGCATTAAAACATTTCGAAGGCTCATTATAAACAATTTAAGAACAACTTTAAAGTATTTTCATTAACTAAAATAAGTATAAAGTACAAATATTTTAATGAACATTGCCAATTGTTATGCCTAATAAAAATAACATTAAAAAGCCGTAGAATATTACAAATAGGTGATCACTCTATCTCCTTATTATGATGAATCTTAGAAAATTCCTATTCTTCACTTTTGTCCAAAAATAAATTCATTTGAAGCATTTGTTGATGCTCATACTAATCTTGCATGTTTATTAACAAATTTAGATAAACCAGATGAAGCATATGAATATTGTTTAAAGGCAATATAACTTTAACCTAATAACTTTGAAGCTTAAATTAATTTTGGTGATTTGTTAAGATAACTTGGAAGATAAAAAGAGGCTATTGATCATACTTGGAAATAAATAGTTTAAATTACTGGTTAAGGTTATTAAGAACCTTAAAAGATAGATGTCAAAACTACACCTGTATAAAAAAATGAATTGGTTAATGTTATTTGTATGAAATGGGGTACTAAATATGGTCCAGATTATGTTAATAAATTATATAATGGATTTAAACGATATTGTACTAGATAGTTTAATTTTATCTGTGTTACTGATAATCCTGATAACTTGTAACCTGAAATAATAACCAGAGAATTAAAATAAGGTTGGACTGGTTGGTGGGGTAAAGCAACTTTATTTATGGATTATTATGATTACCCTCCTGGAAAATTATTTTTTATTGATCTTGATATGATTTTAACTGGAAATGTTGATGAAATCATGGATTATAATGGTGCATTTGGAATTCTCAAAACTGATGAAATTGCATGTGAAAAATAAAATAAAAATGGATATAATAGCAGCATTGTTATTTGGAATAATAGATATATTTTTAAAAGAATTTTTACTGAATTAGATGCTAATTGGAAAAATATATAAAAATTTATTGTTAGATTTGATTTCTGAGTAGAAATGATTGTGGAAAATGCAGAATTTTTATAAGATATATACCCAACATAAATATCTGATTTTGTTTTTGAATGTAAATAGTCTGTGCCCAAAAATACAAGAATTGTCACATTTCCAAGAATGCCAAAACCTGATTCATACCCAGCAGAATGGATAAAAGAATATTGGATTTGATCATCTATATATCAGTGTAAATTATTATTTGGAATATATT